AATTTTAACATCATGCAATAACACTAAGACGACATTAGTTGCATTGAACTGATCTTTTTAATAAATTGTACTTACAATGTAGTGAGAAACATGGGCTTGAGCTTCACTGAGGACCTTTGTCATTCTGACAGGGAGGCAAACTGCAGTTATTACACTTCGTGTTTTGAAATATGTAACTCTGTTAATTATAAACCCCACACTGCTCAAACTTCATTACTTTTCCTAAAATGGTATATCTATTTATTTATTTATTTTGGGGCGTGGGGAATGAAGAGAAAAAAGATATGAGCATTTTATGAGCATGGGATTTTGACCCCTCCTAAACATATGCATAATGCTGCGCTATACTTTGCGGCCACACGCCGTTGCCAAGCAACGCTTATTGTTTAGGTGTCCTTTGATAAGCAGGCAGTCATATCATTAACTAGAACTAGCTAGATCTGATAGATTTGGACATAAACGCGAGTGAAGTATAACCGGACGCGAGCGAGAGATCAGAGATCAGATCAGCTGCTGCTGACGGAGAACACTTAGCTAGTTTATCTACTCTGGAACTAGCTAAACTAGTTATAAATATATGTATTCTTTACTGTCGGGTCACTTATTACAGGTTCAGCGAGCTGCACGAGACTGACGGGCTGTCAGGAGAGGGAGAGAAAAAGAGAGCACCCCGTTTATTTATCCCATTTTATTATCCAGAATTACTGTTACCTTTGAATAAAGTAGTTAATCTACTATTAGTAGTTTGTTTAAATGCATTACTTATGTTTTTTTTCTTTCTCATTAACATAAAATTAATCTCACGTACCCCCTGCAATACTCCAACGTACCCCTAGGGGTCCGCGTACCCCCATTTGAGAACCACTGGTCTATGTTATTGGCCAGTTTTAATTTATGTGTGTACTCCTTTATAGTTAATGTTTGAAACAAATTAGCAACAAAGACATTGTTTAACCACCAGATAGAACTGACACGTTTAAACGTCAACTGTTGTTGCTCTGAATAAATCTTGGTCACAGTTCTTTAACAACCAAGTTTAAAAGATCCTTTAAAAAAAAAAAAAATCCTTATGTTATGTGTCTCAACATTGAACTGAGACTGGAGTTTTCAACCGAGTTGGGCCTACTCTAAATTAAGTATCATTAAAGCAAACTTGTGTTATTTTAACACAATTACGTTACAGAAGTTATGCCTACAGTCAGTTGTATTCACCACCTGAGATCTAACAACCATGGCTCCTTCCTCATAAACATATTTTTTCAGATTTTGTATGCCGTTATTGCGGCTCAAAACAAATCTGATGCACACTATCATAGGATCATTTTTTACCTGATCCATTTATCCGATACAGGGAGTACTCGCCTGTTTCTCTTGAGGAAGCTTCGACAAGTCTGAGAAAAGAACCTCTGTGGCCATAATGGAGAAACCATACAGGGTTGCATTTGGGAATTGTTTGATCAAGAGCTTTGATTAATAAAAGCCTATATAACTCGGGGTGAATTTGAATCATTCCTTTTTTTTATCTCCTTCATGCATGCCACCCTAGCTTTATGGTGATGAAGCTTAACAACCCCTTTAAGTACAGTTTTGGACATATTCCCTGTAAAGGCAGCATGAATAATATGAGATTAAATGGTTGTGACTTCTGCAGTATGAATGTCAACATTTTTCCAAAGCTCATTACCGTGTAGAGTTCTGGAACATTTTTAGTTTAGCTTCTTAAATGTATGTTTAAGCTTTAAAATGACTTCCCCACCGTGTGCAGTTAAGTTAGTCTGACCTGTGGGATCTAAATGGATTTGACCCCCATCTTCAAACTCAGTCATCTGCATTTAGATTTACTATTCGACACATTATTCCTTAAAAACCCAATTGAAGCTGCAGCACACGTTCTCCATTCTGTGTGTAATTGATGAGCGTGAACCCAGGTCCAGCCACACCATCATCTCTCAGCGGTTCACGTGCTGTGTGTTGGACTGAAAGTGAGAAGCAGCAGGACACCGCCGAGTCCTTTCCTCTGCTATGTGCAGGATATTAAATAATAATGCCTGTGAAAAATATTCCTGTTATTCCAAGAATCAGCAGGAAGTCCCATCTGTGTCCTGAGAGCAGTTCAAATCCTCTGACTGAAGTGCATATCCCCCCGCCTTCCTCACCTGTAACCAAGAGAGGAGTATTGCCGTCCAACTTTTGCCGTTTATCCTCTCTGTGCTTTACAGCATGTTTGCTGCTGGATCTCCTCCAGAGAGAAACAAAGCTGGCATCAGTCGCAGAGCCTCAGCTCCTCTCCAAAAAACCCTATGTTTCAGAGGCGAGAACAAAGTTACATGCTCTGAGCCGTAGCCATGGTAACATAGCTTTTTGGCTTTTGTGGAGTGACATTCGGATGCTGCCAAGTGTTCAAAGACCGCTTTTAAAACTGTGTTTGAAGTGTGTGCTGACACTGGGGGGGCCACGTTTGTGATTAAGTTTGTATAGTGTTCAAGCATATTCAAAATCCTGCAGTTGTAATGTGGAATAACATTTTCACAAACCATGCTGTTAATTACAAATAAGTAACCCTCTTCTCAGTAGCAACTTTTTAGTTAAATGTTTAGCCGTTTGCTCAGGAAGTGGCTATATCTTTCCCCCCCCTTCCATTTTCTCTTAGCTCGTCTCTGCTGTGTTGTGTGCTTATTCTGCTTGTCTCCCTACTTCTCACTTCTGTATTCTTCTAACCAACCTTTTCATGCAATTTTTTTGCAATATTCACAGCAGCACTGTTGCTAAGAAGATTGCTCACATGAAAGCGGTTACATTTTGAAACATGCAACCAGAGAATATAGAATCTTCTCTGTGCTTGTAGGTCTCTATCAGCATGTCAGCATAACACCAGAATTGTTTACTTATCTGCAGTATTAAGTTGTTAGAGAGGATTATCTATTATGAGATTCCAACATAAAGCTCAATGTGAGATCTTGGCTTTCGTCCTGCTTTTCCTTTCGTTCAGCCTGAGAATTTTGAGCATCCATGAATGTCAAGCCTCACCTTCTGTAAAGCTGCTTTTGGTAGCCTTGGGTGAAATGTTGTTTTGCCTTTTCCTTATAATGTGAAGCAAGGGTGCCATAACAGTTTCCCTCAGAGAAAAAGTTCAACTTGGGTTCTGTTGGCAGGTTAAATACATGCTTCCATTTCTGGTAGATCACCTCATTACCTCGCTTTTTTTTTGTGATAACGTACACAAAGGTTGCTCAAGGGAGAACTTGCAAAATCCTGTCTGTGTTTTATAAACTGTAATGTAGTTTGTTGGTGTCCGATAAGCCTTTAAACGCATCATCTGTAACTCTGACTTCCTGGATCACGTTTCATTGTGACACGGCCCAACGCACTGTTTAGAACTGGACTGGTTTCAATCTAAAAACCGCCAAAAGGAAAGCTAGGTGTAGATTAAACATCAGTCCAGTTTAAGCTCCTCTTCTTTAGTTCCTTGTCACTAATTGGATTCATTTGAAAGTTTTACTCATACATGGTCAAGCCCTTCTATACTTGGAATAGTTATTTTTGCTTTTGGGGAACGCTTCATTTTTTTTTTAAAGCAGTGATTTCTGATCTGTGAACTAAAGGTGATCGCAATCAGCTCGTGCAAAGTCTCACAGAAGCCGAATCAGCTGTGTTCTACGCCTTCTCTTCCACTTCTTTATCTCCATCTATCTTTTGTCTTCTTCCCTTTAATTACCTAAGATATTAAAGTTATTTTACTTTACTTAAGTAAAGCCCTGTATGCTTTTAAAGCTTGGAGTCTAGTAGCTGTTTACGTTCATAGCATTGGTCTCTTAGTAGACAGAAAACACATAACGCAACTGTGCTGAATGCATCTGATTAGAATCATACTGATATGGTTTTAAAGTATCTGCGAGCCACATGTGGCGTGTGATTGGCTCAGCAGCTGCTTCCTGCCGTGCAGACTGTCAGAGACACTCATAACTCACCGCCTCACCTTCATGCTCTGAGAAAGAGAGTTGGGCAGGTCTGTTTTGCAGCTAAATGTGCATGTTTGTGATGTTTACCAACTCACAGCTCAGCTTGTATTCCCTAGTCCAATCCTGGATGTGATAGCTGTTGGTTCCTGTGCTGGACATGAACAACATTCCTACAGCTATTTCAATCTGGCAGGTTGTGGTGGGATTTCAGGGCTGCTTCTGGTTATGGAATTCCTGGAATATCATTGAAATTTCAGAGGACACATAACGTTTTCGGAGAATGTTCAGATATTAAAGGTCTCCTATTGTGCAAAATGCACTTTTTTATCTATATTATACAGAAACATGTGTCCCCGGTGTGTCAGGGAACTCACAAAGTGTCAGAAAATAAAACCCTCTCTCTTTTCCTCCGTACTGAAATCTCTAAAAACAGGGGTACAACGGAGCTGATCCAGATTTGCTGCCGATATGACGTAATATTGGCAATGTGGACCCACGGCCCTATCAGAAACTTTGCTATCAGAAACAATGCGTGACGTGTTTTGGACGTAATATGGTCTTTCTTTACATTAGCGAGCATCGCTAACACTCAGAGCTAACCTGTACTGGAGAGAGTATGTGTAAAAAAGCAGGAAATTTAAAAAAGGAACTCACCTTGTGGTAAACCCGCAAGAGAAAAAGCATTTGAGATCCATACTGTTTCAGAAATAATCCCCGATGTGGTTTGGAGCATGATATGGCGTTTAATCACGGCAGTGTTTAGCTGTATCTCGTAGAATTCTGAGCAGGCACAAGCTCCCCCTTCTCTTGTTTTCAGAATCAGAATCAGCCCTTCTCTAACAGGGCTGAAATAGAGGGATATGAGGGATGTCTAAAATGCATGATCTGTTTGGTATTTTGAGCAAAACACATCAGACATGTTTTTTTATATATCTGAGACCCTTAATATATGCCGAAAAATAGCATAATAGGAGACCTTTAAATGAAATCCTGACTTGTATAGAATTGTAATCTAACGTATTCTCTCCTCTCCTCCACCAGACGACGTCCCCTACAGGTCAGGGCCGCTCCGACTCGCCGGTCTACACCAACCTCCAGGAGCTGAAGATCTCTCAGTCCAGCCTGCCCCCCATCCCCTCCAGTTCCCCTCTCCACATCCTGGGCGAGTGGGAGACCCACAAAGACTTGAGCGGCAGACACTTCTACTACAACCGAGGCTCCGGAGAGAGGACCTGGAAGCCCCCCCGCACCAGGGACACCAGCGGCAGCACCAGCAGCTTCAGGGGAGACAGCCAGGGCACAGCGGAGAGCGAGGTGAGGGACGATTAGGCCAATTCAAAGATTTTATTGTCATAAGCTACAGTGTAGAAATGGCAATGACATTCTTATGACCCGAGCTCCTCCAACAATGCGACATATATAATAAAATACAAATAAAAAACAGTGCAAGAAGTCTATATACATGTAAATAGAATATGATATATACAAGAACAGAATGTGAAATTAAATATTGTACATTTAAGAAAAAATTAAATACGGTTTATTGCGGGGATAACCATTTAGATAAATAAGTAGATTGCAAGATGACAAACAGATGAATGTTTATGGAGGCACAGAGCTCAGGTGTTTAGCATTCTTATTCAAGCCATTTCTGGTACATTCAATGTACAGTTTTTACAGTGACTACTGTTGAAAAGCTTCTTTGTTTATTTTTATTTTTGTATTAGTAAATGTATTGAACATGTTAAAAACAAACAATAATAATAATAACAAAGATAAGCAAAATAAAAAACCGTTCAGGGTATAACAAAAATTAATTCTCAAATAGTTTCCGTCATGTTCAAAAAGAGCAAGAATAGCTTTAAAACGTTTCTGGTCCTACCCCCCTCTAGCATTCAATGTTCATGAAAATAAAAGATCGGGAACAAATCATTCCTTTGTACAAAACCAACAAAACCAAATCATTTTTACAGGTAAACCGGAAATGAAAAGCATGATTCACAAACCTGTAACACAATTGCTTCTTTTAGACCCAGAGAAAACACATTCAGGTATTTAGTTTGCATGCGAGTACATAAACCGTCTGTATTTGGACTCTCTGGCGGTCATTCTTAAATAAACAGGCTGTGGTGGAAGTGTGGTTAACCACCAAAGAGGTTTTAAATGATGTGGTTGGTTACTGCTTTGATATGGGGAAGTCATGGTTTCCTGTCAGGGTGTAGCTTTCTGACAAGCTATCCAACAACGCCCCCCTGTGGTGGTTTGGTTTATTGCAGCATTATTTTTATATGGTTATTAGAAGTCAATCAACAGGATATTTATCGATTGGGCTGCCATACAGCTCACCTGGTAGAGGTGTGCTCATGTATTGGGACGCGCAGAGGACCCAAGTTCGAATCCGGCCTGGAACCATGTACGCATGTTATCCCGTCTATCTTCCCCTTTCAACACTTTCACTCTCAAATAAAGGCTAATATATAATCTAGCCCAAAATATCTAGAAATTAAATAATATTATTATTATTATTATTAAAAAAAAAAAAAAAGTGAGAATCTTTCTCTGTTTTATAAGATATACTGAATATGTTTTTATTTAAAAATGTTTTAGACCAACTGATTTAAATAATGTATCAAATATAAATGCTATCAGTATTCAATGATAAGAGTCATCATTAGTATAACTTTCTTAACAACCAATATAGATGCAGCTTTGTGTTAGGTAGTAAAGTGGTAAAGTATTTTTACGGGGAATAGTTGTATGTTTTTGGAAAATACTATTATAATACTTCTATTTATTTTCATTTGAGGAGAGGATAATTTAGGACCTGTGTCTTAAGAGTAACATAAATATGAAGCTAAAGCTAGGTTAGCTTAGCCTAGCGTTGCGAGACTGGAAACAGGAAGAAAAAGCTAGCCTGGCTATGTCCAAAGGTACAATTACCTGCCTTCCAGGACCTGCTAATCAGGTTGTAGCATACCACAGAAACTGAAGTGTAATGACACAATTTCACAGATACAGTCTAACTGTTTCCAGTCTTTGTTGGTATGTTAAGCTAAGCTAACAAGCTGCTTACCATTGGTAGCTAATACATGTAGTGTTGACATTCAATAACACCTGTATAATGAAGCCCCCCGTCTCTTTGTGTGTGTCCTCCACAGCCGCTGTCCTCAGAGGAAAACTGTCACAGCACCCACTCCAGTCAGTCTGACAGCCAGTACGGGTCCCCCCCTAGAGGCTGGTCTGAGGAGCTGGATGAGCATGGACACACTCTCTACATCTCTGAACACACACAGGAGAAGGTTATAACTGATTACATGTCATTGCTTACTTTCTGCATGCTATGTTAGATCCATACCTGCAAACCATATACATCAAATATGATTTTCTTGGTTGCTGACAGTTCTTTTGTGTTTTCAGTGGATAAAACATGTGGATGAACAAGGCCGGCCCTACTACTACAGCGCTGATGGATCCAGGTCAGAATGGGAACTGCCCAAGGTAACATTAGATTACATACATTATACCTTATTGAAAGTAATCTCTTTTTCTTGAAAATTGTGTTACACTACCCAGTAACACTCCCCCTGACGATCCTTCTAAACACTGGTCCTGTGGGTGTAAGTGGATGAGCTCACGCAGGAGCCAAGTTTGAGTTTAATTCTGGGGGACGGACTATTATTGGCTCTTTACCGGCTAATCTGTAAGGGCTGATCTAAACAGAGCAGTCCATTCTCACTGTGGACATGACAGTGGACTGTTGACAACAATCGGGCTGTAAAGTCCCTTTGTGCAATGGTGCTGTGGACAGTGAAAGGAGAGGTAGGGGGGCGCAGGGATACTGAAGGCTGTGTTGGAACAATGGATGTCCTAAGCTTAAGATCTCTCCTGTGTCTGCAGTACAACATGTCCCCTCTGTCCGGGGAGGTTCCCAAGAGTCGCAGTCTGGAGAGGAAGCAGCAGGACCCCATCGTGCTCACCAAGTGGAGACACAGCACCTACGTCTTAGACCTCAACGACAAGGTAAGATTGTGAAAACTAATGAGGTTACAAAGACAGTGTGGTGTGGAAAAGGCTCTCTTGTTGCTGCTGGTTCTCTGGCAGCCAATATGTCTGCTCTTTCCATTACCTGTGTTATTGGCAGTGAGCTAATCCCCGAGTGCTAATGACGCCTTCAGCTCAACAGAGGAGCAGGTTTACAATTAATTAATCTTTTTATTTTGGAATCTTGACAAATGATGGTGTACAGTATGTCAAATAATAATAATAAAAGGTCTACTTATATGCGTGTCTAACAACTGTTGTGAAAGACAACTAACTTTCACAGAGCAATTGTTATAGCTGACTTAATAACTTAAAAGAGTGCTATAGTGATTTATTGTCGAACTCCTATTGAGCGGAGATAAATTATTTAAATGAAAGCAACGGAGATAATAATATCCTTAATTGGGGTCAAGCTTCAGAAACACTGGATACTACATTTCCCATGGTGCAACCAATCACATGTTTTTACTTAACTGCGTGATAGTGCCAGGCAAATGTCATGGAGGAAAACAACTCGTGTTTAATATAAACCAGTTTATTGAACTGTATAATACAATATTTCAAATATGAAACAATAGTTGACATTTCACACATATTTAATATATTTAAAAAAAGAACTAAAACATACTGGAATCGCTTTACAAGTCAACAAATTATAATAATAATACAAAATACATGCTGGTAGACATACATCATATTTTATGTGCTTATTATTCAGGTTCTCTTTTTCAATTCTTGACCCTGATAGCAACTAGATTTTTTTTTTTCAAGACACATGTGAGGAAATTCACGATTATCAAGATTATCGAAATTCACCTGGAGTAAATTATTTATTTGTTTATCCTTAAAATTCTATATTGTACCATCCCTCCCCTGTCTGCTTAAAACAATTTCACTTTCCTCAGAGTACAGGTTAATAAACCTTTTGAAATACATTTCAAGTTGAATTCAGACAAAAGGTTTTTAAGAGTGAGAAGAATACATTGGAGTTTCACGCTGTGGCGGTTTCCTTGCAGTTCTCTTTCAAACTGTGGCGGTTTTCATCCGACAAGAGGAGATTTCGCTTCTCTCTTTACCGTGACAAAGTTTGTACCGCGCAGAGCCTCTTCCCCCCCGGCCCCCTCTCTAATCAACAGATGATTGATTCACTGCCAGTGTGTTAACTAGCTGTCGTGATATGACGATCAACGCCACGTTTCACCCAATCAAAGAATCATTATTACCTTAGGTTTGAACAGGAAGGAAAGCGGCATCTTGGAATGAACTTCTAAATTAACTTCCATCAGAAGCATGTTGTTTGCAACCTTTTTCTAACTCTTCCTCCCTTCCTTATCTTTTGATGACCTAATCTAATATCCACCACACTCTTGTGATTCCTCTCCAGGTTCCTGCTTCCTTTTCTTCCCCTCACTTTCCTCAGACCTGTAGTTAGCCAGTAGCTATTAGCGACTCATCATGTTTATCTTGTTGGTAGGAGTGTGCTCCGGCGCCCAAGCAGAGCCCCCCCGACTCTGACTCCTGCCCCTCATCTCCTAAGCATCCCTCGACCGTTAGTATCCCAGCTCGCATTGCATCGCACCACACTTATTACCATCCTTCTTTCACCTGCATCCAAATACATACTCATTTTCTAAAACCTCCAAACATTGCATTTTGATTTCTCATCTGCTGCACGCCACATTGGATAACTGCATCACATCTAACAACAAATGAAACCAGCGAAAAATCCACTAGCACTTAGCTGCAGTGTCATGGCGCCCTCTGCTGGTGATATTTGGGCATAGCATCAAGCAGCAAAGCCACTTCTAACCTCCAACATTTGCTTCTCAAGCTTCAGCGTGTGTGTTTGTAGATGTACGTGTTTTAGTTTTTTTCATGCATGTGTTCTAGCAGGTTCTTATATGCGTCTTTGTCTCCTCAGCCCTCGGAGAAATGCGGAGTTCTCAATGTCACCAAAATCACGGAGAATGGAAAGAAAGTCAGGTGGGAATCTGAAAAAAACAGCAGCGATAATAAGTACAATATGTTACACAGTTTATCTGTTAATTGTGGCCGTTTGTTCACACTTAAATGAAACAAGCCGTCTTGACTTCCTCTACAGTGGACATACTGTAACATTTAAACATTCAATTAAATAAAAAATAAAAAGTCTAAATTGCAAGATGTGTTTTAACCCTAAATCACCCAAATATTAACATTGGAAGACACATGTATTCCTCAGTTCCCAGGAGGATATAATGTCAACCAGACAATATTTTCTTCCTTAGATTTACACCATATTTTAGCGTCTTCTAGCTGTTTTGTGTATTTTTTGTGCCTTTACTGTTTTAATTTAATCTTTTCTTAGCATTGTTTCCAGCAGCAGAAGGCAGTTGTTTTTTTTAACCCACTGCTTAACTTAAAAAAAAATCCTCTGACATCTGCGACCCTAAATGTTTTTGTTTTGAATCACAGGAAGAACTGGACCTCCTCGTGGACAGTGCTGCAGGGGTACTCTCTCCTCTTTGCAAAGGGTCAGGGGGGCAGCACCAGCTGGGTACGTGTCTATCAGCCTCTTAGTATTTTTAGCATTCGTACCATCTTCGTGTTATTCCTCTCTTCCTCATTTCTGCATATTCACCTGTCCTCATGCCACCTGTGCTGTGAAATATCATCCTCTGTTCCTCTCCTCTCCTTCCTGAAGTCTTACTACCGCAACGGCTCCATCCCTGAGCTGCTCCTCACTCTCCTTAGCAACTGGAAGCGCTCAGTGAAGCCCCGCCCTGCTGTCTCCTATGTGAACTGTAGGCCTGTGCAGGCTGCCGCTGTATGTCCCCTCTCTCTGCACGTGTCTCTGCTCCTGCCTGTCCTTCATTCTTTACTCACTCCTAACTCACCTGACCGTGTGTGTTTAATGTTTGAAAGAAAAGTTGCAATACCCAAGCAACATTTGTATACTAACAATGACTCTATAGACCCAGCCCATTGACCAATGTTGTCCAGGTGAATTTATTCTTGTATTAATATCACTCTATTAGCATAAGTTACAACGTTTATCTGTTAATTGTGGCTGTCTTTTCACACTTAAATGGTCTTGACGTCCTCTACAGTGGACATAATGTAAAATAAATGTTTTTGTTTTGTTTTTTTTAACCCTAAATCACAAAAAAAAGAAAATTGGAAGACACTTTTGTTCCTCTAGTCTGTTCCCAGGAGGATATAATGTTAACCATCTTCTTCCTTAGATTTACAACATATTTTAGCGTCTTTAAGCTGTTTTGTTTATTTTTAGTGCCAATACCTTTACTGTTTTAATTTAGTATTTTCTTAGCATTGTTTCCAGCAGCAGAAGGCAGTTATTTGTTTTCTTTAAACGCTGATAAACCCACAGTTTGCAACCTGCTCAGCAACAGCAGAAAGACAACATGTGTTACTAGCTAGTACATTTAGCTTATTGGAGCTAAAGCAATGCTAAAGAGCCTTCAGTTAGTGGTAGAGACCAAATCTGAGTTATAAGAGGAGTGAATATTGGACAAACAATTTCCAACACAATGAAGGTTAATGTTGTAATGTGTCTGAAGGTGATGATAAATCAGTGTGTGTACGGCTTGTTTTGGTTCCCTCAAATGGAACAAAATCCTTAAATGCCAGTTGAAGTTAGATAGAAAGATGAAATCAAGGTTGTGAATCAGAAGTTCATCTAAACACAGTTGGCACAACAATGATAGAGAAACAATAGAAAACACAGATGAGGTGCAGAGGCATTACTCAAAACTTCTTGCAAGAAACATGACGGAGAGGAAGTGTATTTCGGAAGTTATATCTCTCAGTGTAATCAAATATCAGACTGTTACCACCAACTCTCTGAAAGCTAATTTGCCTAAAAAATTGTCCCATTTCTCCTCCAAATATATGAATATCACCTCATTTAAACATGTCCAAAAAGCACAGGAGCACAGAAGAAGTAGTTTGGTTTCGTATTATATGTGCAGGTTTAACAGTAAGACCGTAACTATTTTATCGAAGTTATAAAAATGACAATAATTCATAATGTTCTGTGTGTGCCACTAAAACCATGTATTACACACATAATTGAACTTTATGTATTATTATTATTAATACTCACATTATATCAATAACAGCTACTAACGTTTTGTTTTGCTTTTCTTGTAACACATTACTGAGATTTACTGTGCTCGAGAATGTGATGTGTGCTTTTAAAATCACTGAATATGTCAGGAAAAAGTCAACATCTCAAAACCTCCTTAAAGGTCCCCTATTATACTCTTTTTCATCAATATATTTGAGTTCTCAGTTATATACAAAACATGTCTCTGAAGTGTTTGGCTCGAAATATCAAACAGATCATGCATTGTAGCATCCCATAAACCCCTCTGTTTCAGCCCTGTTTCAAAAGTGCTGATTCTGTGTCCGTAGCTTTAAATGCTAATAAGCTGCTGCTAGCCACGCCCCCTATGTGATTGGTTAATAAAAACACATTGGTGCTTTAAGAGGAGATTCAGGTGAAAGGTGGGCGGGTGTTACCTTGGTTGGTTATTGGCCAATGGTTACACAACCCCAACAAACATTATGACATCACAAAGTGGCTGATCAGCACATTTTCAGACAGGTTTTTATATAAATGGATCAGGACAAAAATAGAGTATCTTTTTTCCTGAAACGTTCAGAATCTCTTTACACAGAGGGGACACATGTTTATGTATAAAATAGATTAAAAAGTGGATTTTGCATAATAGGTGACCTTTAAACAACAACAACGTGTCCCTGTTGTATCTTCTTTGCATCAGACATGGACTGTAATTCTGTTTCATTGATTCCAGAAGTTTGGGGGCAACCAGTCCAAGCCGGAGTTCACGGTGGATCTGCGGGGGGGGGTCGGTGGACTGGGCCTCTAAGGACAAGTCGAGCAAGAAACACGTCATCGAGGTACTGAACACAGCCCACCTGCCGTTGAATTTTACTCTAGATTTACCTGCAATTTGGGTTTTAATGTGGTCAAATGTTGACTTTCCCTCCCTCAGCTGAAGACTAGACAAGGAACAGAGCTGCTGATCCAGTCAGAGATCGACAGCGTAATCAACGACTGGTACCGGGCCCTCACAGAGACCATCAACACACACGTGAGGACACATCTTTTAACAACAAGGTCATGTCGGACGTTTTTCAATCCATCTATAATCTATCTTCGGTCCTTGGTTGTAGCAAATCTGCCTTGAAAGTACATTTTAGATTTCAATTTCAAATGTATTTATTTCTTTCTATTTATTCATTTATTTAACATTAATCAGCATTTCTGTAAATGTGCCAGAGTAGTAGTCCCTGGACAGATTTTGTAAGTCACCCTAAAGACAAATTTCGTTCAAAACAAGTAAATACAATTAAATAAAGACATGCAACATACAGTACTGGATATCTTAATAAAAAAAACAAAATGGAACAATAAAACCAAACAAAAAAGAACATGTTAAAACACAGGCAGTGTAGACAGACACTTGGTTGTAAGGTGCAGAAGATTGTGTCAGTGTTGGCAGAGCTGATTCCTCAATAACCATGTTTTGAGTTGTGATTTAAATAATGTATTTAGATTGTGTGTGTCTCCTTACGTTCAGGCCTGGGAGTCGGATGAGGCCATTGAGGAGGACATGCCTGAGTCCCCAGGAGCTGAGAAGCAGGACAAGGAGAAGGACCACCGGGACTCCAAGAAGAACAGAGGTAAGACAGAAGGAGAATGTCCCTACAACATACTCTAAATGTCTGGACGAAATGTGCTTACATCCTGCCTCCTGTCTTCCTCAGTGATGAAGACCTCTGTGAGTATGGACTCATCAGACCAGAAGAAAACCAGGTTGAAGCTCAAGAAGTTCCTGACGCGTCGACCCACATATCAGGCTGTACGAGACAAGGGATACATCAAAGGTATTTAGAGACAGAACAGGCAGCGGTGATACTGTTGATCATTTCCCACATGGATATCTGCCACTGTTTGAGTATGAATCAATAACTGTGTGTTTTCTGAATCTCAGATCAGGTGTTTGGCTGCAGTCTGACCAGTCTGTGCCAGAGGGAGAACACATCGGTACCCAACTTCGTCACCATGTGCATCGACCATGTGGAGAACACAGGTATGAGCAACACCCACGCTAGATAAGATAAGATGAAACTTTATTCATCCCCTTGGCGAAATTCAGGCGTTTATAGCAGCAACAGGGTCAGAGTGAACAACAGGATTCACACAAGGTACACATGTAGATAAAATAGAATATAAATTCTAATAATAATATAAAAAAAAAAAAAAGTGATAAAGTAACTGTTGAAACAAGATATCACAGAAAAACGTTGTTATGTTAAATATATTTAGATAAGTGTGCAATAGCACTGAAAACTATGTGGAGAATATGGGATGTTGAAGATGTTCCGGTTGTTCAATTCAGTATAAATCTAGACCCTGATTTTGAGGAATACATGTTCTTTCAGTGAGCTTTGAACCAGTAGATAACACGCTTTGTGACAACGCTGAATCAACAATGCCACTTGTATCATTCTTTCATTGACACTGAGCAATGAGTACAACCACGTTTCATCTTAAGGAAATGTATTCCGATAGAATTATTAACAAAGCACTTATATACTAATAAAGGACTGGCTTACCTAAAGCCAGTTGAGTAGCACTTGAAATGTTTGGCTCTATGAAACCTGATGTACTTATATGATTCTGTTTTCTTCAAGGTTGTGTCTTCCTGGTCGAATGTACTTATTGTAAGTCGCTTTGGATAAAAGCGTCAGCTAAATGCAATGTAATGTATTCATGTTATAAACACCTCTACTTTATCTTACACAGACCTCAGATGATTACTTTTCAGTTAGATTCATACAAGTCAGAAATACAGAAACGGAACTATTAATTATGATAAATCTTTTTAATCAGTTAAGATAAAATCATTTGTAGCTTAATGTCCAGCATCGGAGACATCTCTCTTTCTGCTGTTTTTCTGCCGTCAGCAAACATATACAGCCTTCTACTAAATCAAAGTGGAGCCTCCATCCAATACAATTTCAGAGTCCCTCCTCCTTTTTTCTTACAGTGGGTGTCGCAGCTGATTATCTGACATTATGCCATGAATATTTACAGAATAAAAACAAGACACAGATTCTGAACATCTGTACATATCATTGGTCAGCTGTAGTCTTTACTTAACAGGGGTCATGAAGCGAGGGCAGGAAACGCTACATGTTCAATCAGTTCTCGTCATTTACGCTCACTGCCATTGTCCCTATCCCGCTCTCCTCTCCCTCCTCCTGCAGGTCTCAGTATTGACGGCTTATACAGAGTGAGCGGGAACCTGGCAGTGATCCAGAAGCTGCGCTTTGCTGTGAATCATGGTAGGACACCCCTCTGCCCCTGTCTGATAACTGACCACAGACATGCCTAAAACACTACCTGAATGGCCATCTTTTTCTGCATGCAGACTTTCCCATTGGTTGCGTTTTATATATAAATCTCTCCTTGAGAACAGAACTAGGTAAAAAAAAGCTTTTAAATATGCTGCCCCTTCTGCCTGGAATAATGTACAGAAGTGAAACTGTCAGATTGTATCACTATGGGGGAGTTCAAGTCCATCTTAAAGGGCAGAGAACAAGAATCCATTGGTCGATGTGATTGCTCTTATATTAATTAATTATATTAATTAATTATATATTAATTAACTAATTGAAGTCGTTTTAAAATTGTGCCAGTTTTTAATGTTTTATAACGGTTTATTTTATTTGCATATTGACTGGTTAATGGGACATTCCATTTGTGTTTTACGACAGCTGTATTCGTCTGCCTGTATTGTTTTGTGTTCTTTTGTTGTAACTTTGTTCATGCTGCCCTCTTGGCCAGGTGAGATTTTAATCTCAATGAGACTTTTACCTGGTTAAATAAAGGATATATATAAACAGTCTCCTTGTACAGATGTGCTTATAAATTAGATCTTCCTTTAGTAAAAACGTATTTCTCTCCTCTCATCTTCATTTTCTGCAGGTCTCCCTTGAAAAAGAGATCTATGATCTCAATGGGACCAATCTGGTTAAATAAAGGTTTGAAATGAAAATGAATCTTGTGTGTCTCCCCTTCCTCCATCAGATGAGACATTGGATCTGAATGACAGTAAGTGGGAGGACATCCACGTCTGCACCGGAGCTCTGAAGATGTTCTTCAGGGAGCTTCCCGAGCCGCTCTTCACGTACGGGTCCTTCGAAGACTTTGTGGAGGCCATCAGTGAGTGAACTCATTCCTTAGAGGTTTCTCAATACTCTAATTTCCCCTCCTCGACTCCTATCCTCGATACTTAGTCCCGCCCACAGCAGATGCAAGCGGAGGACTGAGGAGAGGAACCGAGGAGAGAGGAGGCGAAGCAGCAGGCGGTTAGAGAAATGAGAACTCCTCTCCTCTGAGCGGTCATTTTAAAGAGACGTCCATTAATGATGACAGGAGGCACAGCAGCACTCTGTCTGATGGACAGATGTGTTCATGACCACTTATATATTTACTTTGATTCATTCACAGTGTGGTATAATGAGACAATAACAGGCTACAGATGCGGACACACACACACATATTTATATAAATATACACAATTTCAGAATCAAACATATACACAATTTCAGAATCAAACAAGTATGAGAGCACTCTCATAATAACGTAACACAATCAGAGACTGGTCTGCCGCATCTACGCACTGTACCACACACACACCTACACACTGTACCACACACACCCACTGCTCCTAAAGCATAATCAGGCTACAGCCGTTGTGTATTTTATTATGTGAAGCACTAAATGGTCTTAGAAAAATATCGACTCTTTGTTTGTAGATATCTACTAAACTAAAGCAAATAAAAAGAGTAGGCCTGTTATACTGAGTGATATATATTATACACACTGCTCTGCTTTCTGCATGGACCTCACAGCTGTTCTCACTGGAAACATCGCAACGCGAAGAAAGCAGTTTCTAAAATAATATCCAGGGGATGCATGCAGAGCTGTCATTGGCTGAGATAAGTCCGGCCGTGCGTCACACCTCCTCCACCGTTCCCGGAAATGCGTCCGCGGAGGAGCCGTGGAGGAACCATCAGTGTCTCCTCGGTTATAGCTCCTCCAGAGAGCCTCCTTGGTGCTCGATGTGCATTTAGAGAAATTAGATGTCCTTCAACATGGCGCGCTGAAATCCATTTCCGGGTCACTACCGGAGCACCGAGGAGTCGAGGAGGGGAAATTAGAGTATTGAGAAACCTCTTATGTGTCTGTTCAGATTCCCTGTGACAAGGCGTTTAGAAGAAGAATGTTGTCCCTAGTTTGCCCACAAGATGGCACTCTGCTCCCATGCATGACTGACTGACTGACTCTGTTTCCCTGCTTCAGAATCCTCAGACTACAACCAGCGAGTGAACTCAATCAAAGACTTGATAAATAAGTTGCCAAAACCCAACCACGACACAATGCAAGGCCTCTTCGAACACCTGCGGAGGTAAGAACAGTCACTCACACTGCTATTAAAATCCCTATGTGTTATTATATCCATCCAGTATCTACATACCAAAAATATGATTACATGTGTTCTTTGGAACTAAAAAAGAGATGAGAACCCATTGCTGACTAATATAAAATGTACATAGTGTAGTCCGACATTTTTTTATTACACTTAGTGTTGTTTACAGACCGAAATTGATTTAAAAAAATGGCAGTTGAATACAAGTCTTTCATAGATCATGACTACTTGATTTATATATATATTTATGAATTATTTTTATATAGATTTATCCCTAGACACATTTCCTGAATTAAATCAGGTACCTTTTCATTGGTTTTTATTGGCTTTTTGTAACTGCTATTTGCATTGATATGGACATTTTAAAAAATCCTTATAAACGCTGCTGTAGATTTTACATGCTGTATACTTAGAATTTAGCTGTATACTTAGAATGTATTATTTTAAAATGTACAAAGGACATCACACCATGTTATTATTAGGGCTGTCAGTCGATTAAAATATTTAATCGCGATTAATCGCACATTTTTGATCTGTTGTAAATGTAAGTTAGAGGAATATTTTTCAAGTTTTTAATACTCTTATCAACATATGAGTGGACAAATATGCTTTATGCTAATGTTTATTATCATTTGAACAATGACAAATATTCTCATGAATATTAAACACAACAACTTCTGAACAAATATTCGCCTCAATTCAACCTGGAACCTAATACAATAAAAGTGTGTGTGTGTGTGTGTGTGTGTGTGTGTGTGTGTGTGTGTGTGTGTGTGTGTGTGTGTGTGTGTGTGTGTGTGTGTGTGTGTGTGTGTGTGTGTGTGTGTGTGTGTGTGTGTGTGTGTGTGTGTGTGTGTGTGTGTGTGTGTGTGTGTGTGTGTGTGTGTGTGTGTGTGTGTGTGTGTGTGTGTGTGTGTGTGTGTGTGTGTGTGTGTGTGTGTGTGTGTGTGTGTGTGTGTGTGTGTGTGTGTGTGTGTGTGTGTGTGTGTGTGTGTGTGTGTGTGTGTGTGTGTGTGTGTGTGTGTGTGTGTGTGTGTGTGTGATGGAATCATGTTGCACTATCCGTGCTGAGTGTGCTGACTTCTCGTACAATGTCCCACTGTCTGGCTTCCTGCATAAAGTCAAGTGCTCGGCGCAGTTGTCGGCAAAATGTCGCTCCTCTGTTTTCATTTAAACAGCTCCGTATATCCGTTAGCGCAGCTAGCTAGCACCAGATGCTAACAACAACAATGCACGTAAGGTCTCTCTCTCGCTCGGGCCACACATACACACACCCTCCCGGTCCTCCCAATAGCCAGTCGGTGCCTGCCGGTGAGCGTGGAAGTGTGGTCTGCCACAAGCGGGCGGCAGGAGCGGGGCTGTCAGCATCAGCTTGTAGATGGTATTTTAAACTCGATGCGCTCTGAAACTACGGGGCGGCCGAGGAAAAAAAAAAATACACATGCATTAATCGCGTTAAAATAATTAGTGGCGTTATTAACGCGTTAACTTGTCAGCCCTAGTTATTATATAACATGGATCAGTCAAAATGACTTATCACTAAACAAGACCGGGAAACCAAGCTACCCCCATCCAAATAAAATCAGTACAAAACAATAAAATGACTGCCTTCAGGATGCTTGTTTCACGTCCAGTCCCATTTTGTAGTTTTACATCACTGAATGAAACCTCTGAATGAGAATCAGAATTCACAACTGAAGAAGAGCTCCTGATATTAAAGGGCTCCGTGTTACTGACCGTACACTCATCCTATGCACTCGGATCTTAAATGTCCCTGAGTTCTGTTTGACTCTCCGTGTTTACCTTTCCTCAGACTTATCAGCCTGTGGGCAAACACAAACTACAGCCAGGTTTTAGCGTGTATTCTCAGCCCACTGGAGCCGGTGGCAATATCATATGTTCACAATGACATTTGCCTAGGTTTCCAATTTGCATTTATATGGCGCTGTGTTTGCTGTAATTCAGTACCTATGAAGTGGTGTTTCTTCAGGAAATTTATAGCGTGACATTCAGTGTATGGAGGTCTACGTGTATCAGCGGGCGGATTTAATCTTCTTTTTTTTCTTCCTTCCTTCCATGAATATGTTATTGTTTTGTGCATCTGCATGCAAGGATGTAGATTCTATTTAAAAAGGCTATTATGCTCTACCCTGGAGCGGAGTGTTACAGGGTGTGTGTGTAGCCGCTCAATCTCAGGCCCTCAAGATGTGTGTAAGAATCATAATGTTGTTTTTCTTGATGCAACCCTGAAGCTGCATTGAATTGACAAACAAATATAAGCTCACCTAAAGCCATTTATGACACATTGCCATCTTTAAATCTCCCCATGTCCTACTTACCTCTCCCCCCAGGGTAATTGATCACGGGGAGGCCAACCGCATGACCACCCAGAGCGTGGCCATCGTGTTCGGACCCACGCTGCTCCGGCCCGAGACCGAGACGGGCAACATCGCGGTCCACATGGTGTACCAGAACCAGATAGTGGAGCTCATACTGCTAGAGTACGAAAGCATCTTCGGCAGGTAGAGGCACTCAGAATACGTGCCGGACTTTCAAATCACGGACTTCTTTTTCCTTCCCCCCTTTTTTTCTTTGACTGAACTGAACATTGCTGTGGACCAAGCAGTTGGGAGAGAAAAAAAATGACCTCCATTGACAGGACAGTTTTTCAAAAGTGTTGCACTTACAGAAGTTTTGGAGATGAATAAAAAAATAAAAGGTGTACAGATTTCACCTGCTTCTTAATGGACAGTGTTTGGAAGTGATGACGTCCGTGTCATTTTGGTGGATTTGAGTATTCAGGTGTTTTCACATACACTGGATCCCTGTGGCCAGTATTTCAAGGGGGGGATGGGGGGGGACCCTTTGCCTCCTGGTGGAGCCGACCAGACTTTGGCACACCGCGGGGGGCCGCGTGGCATTATTAGCCAAACCTCATCACCTCGGAATGAGCTGAATCTGAACTGGATAGGTTGTTTTTTTTGTCTGTGTCGTGGAGCTTCGTCTGTGATGTACAAACCATGTGTGGTTTTGGATCAGGTGGTAAAAAAATAATCAGTGTTATGTTAACGGACTGTCTTTTTTGGCACTTGGATGAACTGGAGTTACAGATTGTGTCCCCAACTTACCTTAATGACACCGTCACGCCCTGTCCCTCACCCACCCCCCCCTACCCCCTTTTCAGCCAGTGTAAACCATTAACCCTGTGACTTGCGCGTCCTGTGACTTGAATGAATGAGGACAAACCCTCCGTCTGTCTGTGTGTGTGAGTGAATTAACCTATATGGAATAAAACCTGAGCAGAAGCATCCTCGTCTTGCCACTTTGTACAAACTGTGTGTCGTGTAGTCTTACGTGCTTTGGTAAAGTTTCCGTTAAGCTGCCGGCGGTCATCGTCTGTGCTCCTTTTATCCTGGTGTTACTGGAAAAAAGTGGATTTCTGGGGGGAATGCAATGTTACCAATTTGTACATGAATTGTCTCTAACAAATCGGCTTGATGACCCTTCTCTTCGCCTAAGCTAATATTAAAGAGTATTCAGAGAAGGGAAAAGGTACTGAGAATAAGTCTAAGCTCGATGTATGGAAGTGTGTGGGTGTTCAAATGAAAAAAAGAGCCTTTAAAAAAACCTTGCAAAGCATATGTACAGCGACAGAAGCTAGTTGTTTAAAATGTGTTATAGTGACTGAGGTATGTATGCTTTGATGGTGAACTAGTGAAAGATTTTGATTTTGTAAATTTGAATGAAAAAAACATGACTATACACAGATTGTGAAAAAAACATACACATGATCGACTGTTATTTTTGTTTGAAGGTGTACCTGGAGTGTTTTGCGCATGGTCAGCTGCACATTTTGAATGTAATTTCCAGGCTAACTGCTGTTTGTGAAACTGCTATGTCTAATAAAAAAGACAAACTAAATGTTCAGACTGTGTACTCTCTGTCTGGATGTGGAGTTAAATGTTTCCGGGGGATGAGGACGATAAAGGAAAGAGGTGAGTCTGCTGTTTAACCTTCAATCAACTTAAGCTTCACCTTTCCCTCTGCTTTAATTACTGAATTGGAGTAATCTACTCAACACCGATATCCTGGTTATTGAATTGAGTGATTAAGCTTTCACGTCTCAATCAATTATACTCCTACCTGTTAATTATGAAATGAACTGCAGTATATTTCTGGATATATTTTCAAATGCAGCACAACCTTTGCGGCTCGGCTTCCATTAATGTGATTTCTTCATTCTTTGAAGGCATTTTTGTCATTACTCCTCAGGTCAAACGTGGCTGCAGACCTGAAGGGTGTGGATTAATTGATGTCTAATTAGGTAATTGCCATGGTGCCAGTTTTGATTAAGAAGCACAAGGCGGAGCAAGTGCTGAGCAAAGCTGCTTGCTGCAGGCAGCACTGAGTGAAAGCCTCCGTTTAGCTTAGCTTTTATTTTCACTGCAGGTTGTGTTTGTGTTGCGATATCTGATTAGAATCTGCTAAATGACAGAGCTACGGAAGCCCATTTCAGGCAAAAAATAGATGTTTAGGATAGATGGCTTGCATTATGTTAATGTTAGTCATGTCTGTCTGCCTTTTTAAACATTAGGAGAAACGTAGTCATTACTATGAGAAAGTGAGTCAACATTTAAGTTTTGAAGTCAAAATGATAATAGACAACATTTTTATTTTCAAGCCTTATTTGTTGTTTGTCAGAATAACAACAAATGATGTTTAACTTATTCTCTCATAATTGGGACAAACATTATTTTTCTTGTCATTATTTAATATTTTAAAGCCTTAAAGGTGGGGTAGGTAATTTTGGAGAAACCAGCTTGAGTGCGCTAGAATTTGAAAATACACAGCCGGAACAAATCTGCCACTTCCTTACAGAGCCCCTCCTCCAACACACACAAACGCGCACATGACCAATGAGGGCACGAGATAAGTTTGTGCACACATGGAAGGCTGACAGGCAGGTCGGCCATCCAGTTACTTTAGCCGGGCCGGCTCAGATGATTGGTCGTTCTTTTTACAGTACCACGGCTTCCACAGATGACATTTTTGTATGTATTTTTTGTCAAAGCACTTAAGATATTCATTGCTATGGGGATGTTAAGAGCATTCCATGGAATATAACAAAAAGTTTATCTCGAGCCGGTTTCTCAAACTTACCTACCCCACCTTTAATAATCGATTAAATCAACAGTGGAGGATGGCACAACACAGGGCTTTATGGTTTACTTTTGTCATTCCAATGGTGCGTTAAAACTGGATGCGAAGATTCCAATCACTCTAATTGCTTGAGCTCACTGCTGCTGTCAGTCGTACTCGCGTCATTCAACATGTGCTGTCGAGGAGGCGGGGCTTATCTCCATGTCAATACTATGGTAGATGCCAATTACAAGAAAAATAACCATATATTTACTGTGATTTAATTGTTAAACACGTTTCAAAATGATGCCGATATAACTACATACTGATACCAGTTAGTAAAAAACATTAATAAATGCTTTGACTAGTCTGCTTACAAGACGGCAGGCGAAACACTTAAAATGTGTGTTTTCTGAATGGAGATCTAATTGATCAGGCTAAGCTAACATGTATTGTACATGCTCCTTCTACACTCACAACAACGTCATACAGACGTAAATAAAGCAGCGACTGTATTCGCCATGCCAGAAACTGTCTTTGGTTTGTATTTATATATGTTCTAAAATGTGCTAACAGCAAACGGCTGATGTTTTGGTTTTCTGAATGCATCATGTAAACTAAACTACCGGTCTTTCCGCGTCTTTGCATTGACTTTACATTTAATCGTGACGTGCCCAAAAGTTGCATCATGTCCAGTGTGAACGCACCATTACACCTAAAAGGGAAGATTTTGACTAAGTATATTAACTTCCCTCAAGTATTTTGCTTTTGTGCTAACTTATTTTTCAACTTTTTACTTCCCCCTTTTTGCCAATAAAGGGCTTCCGCAGATTCTCTGAGGACCCATACATTTTCATCCAATCCCCATTTGTTTCATGTGTGTTTACCACCAGATGTGCCCTCATACTTGCACTGATCCCAACCATTCCTCTTTGAAGTAAAATGTACCCCCCTCATGTCTCTTGCCTACGTGTTATTTATAGCAACAGGTTTGACTTATACCTCAGCTGTGGCTCTGTTTTGACAGGACGGACCACCTTGGATTCAACGTGTTGGAGGTAGGCAGCACTGAATCATGTACCCCGTTAGAAACCACAGGCAGTTAAAACTGAGACCTGGAGAGGAGTGCCCCCAGTATTTCCAAATGAGAAAACAATTAGATCATTTCTATAATTCATGGGTGCGACCACAGCGCAGGCCCAGGGAGGCTCTGAGTGTTTGAAGTGCTCCATATGCTCATGGTGGTTTCCAGGCCTGCTCAGTGGAGGCTGAGGTGTGGGCAGGTAATGTGAACAAGCCATTATGGAGCATAAAAGATTTATAGGTCTTCAGTGCTTCCCCCTGCTTCATTTGCAGGTGGGCTGTTGGTAGAGTGGCTGTATGAGGAACAAAATGCTAGGGAGGTTTTGCCACTATGTGAGACAGACCGCTGTACTTTACCCAACCATGTTTACTCATAGCTCAATGAACAAATGGCTCCTTATCCGGGGGAAGTAGCGGTTTAGGAAAAAACAATTAAAGTGTTTTAGAAGACTCTTTAGCAGTTAGCATTTTAAGTTTTCGATCACACGAAAGTTGTTTTACAACTCGGCAATTTACACACCCCAAAAAATGACCCTCCTTATCTGGCCCTAGATACTAACTACTTGGTACATAATGTTCACCAGCTAATATCTAACATGTTCTGCCAATTTTGTATGCTCACCAGGTTAGTTTATAAGAGATATTTTGATGATAATGTATGCTTATGCAAATTAAGTCAATAAAAATGATGGGATTGAACCAAAAATAGTAACGGTGCAGTGGCAACTGGTCATTAGGGGCAGGTGGGGCACTGCCCCACCTAGTATCGGCAGAAAGTATTAAAAATAATGATTACAAAAAAATGCAAAAAATAAATTATAAAATATATTTTAAGATCATGTTTAATCATCTGATTCGTCTGTACATTGCTGTTTTAGTCTGTGTTCTTCTAATTAGTGTCTACAGTGTGTGCCTATTGAGCTGTTTAGAGCAATGTGGGACAAAACCCGATCATGCCCCTCCCTCTCACTGTCTAAGTCAATGGTGACTGTAAAAACTACACTGCGCATGCTCAGAATATTTTCCTATTTAATGTGTGTGGCAAAAAAAATAATGACCATAGGGGCATAGAGCTGCCATCCCCACCATACGTCATCTCACATAATTCAGAGCTGATTGGCTGTAAGTACGTGTGCCGCGAAAAGTGTGGTGTGTGAAGAGGAGACGAGAGAGCTGCAGGTCCTAAAACCCGGAAGTAAGCTGCGCATGGCTTCCCTCGACAAAAAAGCAATGAGATTTCTCCATAGGATTTTAGAAAATAGCTCCAAATAAGATCTGTGGGAAACAAACCTGTTAGATAAATGCACGTTTTGTTCAGCCGGATAATATCCACATGTCTACCCTACTTTTATAATTTTATAATCATAAATCTATTGATTAGATTAGATTTATGATAGACTTTTGAAACTACAAGAACATAAGGAGGACTTTTACAAAAAAGTAATAGAGATTTTTGTCCAGAGGGATAGGCAAATGGACTTAATCTTCAAGTCAAGGTAAGACTGCAATTTTATTGAAAATGGGATCTTACTAAGAGAGAACAATTCAATATTTAAATGATAAAATTACATTTGTTGGGTATCCTTTTGTTGAACTGTCTGTTTAAAATTAATTGAAGCATCAGACAAAAAAAGCTTTGAAAAATAATATTATATTTTGATTTAGGTCAAAATATATTATTTGTAAACCTGAAGAGTCAGTGCCAGTGCCTCACCAGCCATGAACCTCACTGCAGAAGCTTATAGACATCGAAGTTTTTTGTGCCCCACCACTTTTGTACATATAAAAACGCCACTGTAAAGGTGCAAGCTATAAAGACAAAAAGATAGCCAAAATATGCTAAAATGCTATGTGTAGCAGCTAATCAAAACTACAGAATCCTCTGTGGGTTTGTCACTCCAACTAATAGCTATCACATTACATAGAATGTATTGCTTGTATAAAATATTAATTACGGCAGCTTTGAACATAGTTTAAAACACGTTTTGCAGTTTTACATGACAAATAATTAGCATCGGTCTGAGATGCTATTAAAGCATTTGTATATGGTAGAGGCTACATGATATTAGCCTACATTTGACACTTTAATTGCTTTAACAGCGTAACATACGGCTCCAGCGACTAGAAGCTTTTCCTATATCTCCCCCAACCTCTACTCTAAACAACTGGTCTGACAGGAAGAATGTTTCACGGCTTCTGTGCATCTATCTTACCATCGTAAGGCCCGCTGCTACTCCGCTGATACTGCACTAACCTTCTGTTGTCGGTCTCTAATGGCAACTGGTATGGAGTCAGATCTGACTCCATACCCCATACTGGCCCCCCATTAGCTTAGCCGTACTGACGTGCGATCAACCTTTAGGCAACAGATGCAGGATGTTTTTACAGAGGGCTGAGGTGAGTTGTTCTGACTCACTTTAGGTCAGTGTGTGTGTGTGGGTCTTGTTTTGAGCCATACATGCTGTTATGTGTCTTTCAAGGGTCAGTTCCCCCAAGATATTCTAGTTATTTTTATCCAGCCATGTAAGTAATTTTGTTTTATTTATGCCTGTGAACGCTGATTACATTGTTTTCTGGCGATTATGCATTAGATACTTTACCAATGCAGCAATGCACTTTCATTATGTCAGGATGACGCAGTGGACAATATATCCTGATTTGTAGGCCTATAGGCCTACTCGAAACAAAGGACCATACGAATCCCA